GAGGGAACACAAGCAGGGGGAGTGGGAGAGGGAGAAGCAGGCCTCCCTTGGAGCAGGGAGCCCGATGCAGGGCTCGATCCCAGGACCCTGAGATGATGACCTGAGCCGGGGGCAGACGCTTAATGACTGAACCACCCAGGCGCCTCTTTTATTTTTTTAATAGTAGCCATTTCAATGACTATAAGGTAGTATCTCATTGTGGCTTTAATTGGCCTTTCTCTAATGATTATTGATGTTGAAATCTTTTCATATATAACTTTATATTCTGCTGCCTCCTTTAAACTTGGTTTCCACATCTCTTAAATGGGCATAGTAATACCTAATCTCTCAGGACTATGATGAATATTAAAGCAAATTAAATAATATAATGTATATAAAGTGTTCAGCTCAGTGCCTAGCACATAGTCAACATTCAATAAATGGTAACTACTGTTATTTACATATAAATATGAGAGTAATATGATTTTAGTTTAAATTTTTAACAGCTTGAGGTACGATTTACATACAGTAATAGTCCCTCATTTTAAGTATACAATTTTTAGTAAATTTATAGAAGTATACAACCATCACCACAATATAGTTTTACATTTTCATCCCCCAGAAAAAAGAACCTTTGTGCCCATTTGTATTTACTACCGAGTCCCACCCAGAGCCCCAGGCAACCACTAATCTATATTCTGCCTTTATAGATTTGCCCATGCTGGGCCATTTATGTAAATATGAACTGGATTTCAATAGTCCACAAAAACTTTGCTTCTATTCACTTCATTTCCTTCCCCTCTCTATTGTGCTATTATTGTCATATACATTACATCTTTATAAATTGTATGCCGATCCACACAGAACAATAATTATTGCTTTAAGCCATTATCTTTTAAATCAGAAGAAAAAAAAGTTACAAACAGAAGATGTATTTTTACTACCTTTTATATTTACTTATATAGGTTACCTTTACTAGTGCTCTTCATTTCTAATATGTATTGAAGCCATGGTCTATAGTGTCCTTTCATTTCAGTCTAAAGATTCCCATTATTATTTCTTACAAGGAGGGTTGGTTAGCACTGAATTCTCTCGATTTTGTTTATAATGTAATGTTTTCCTTTCTCCTCCATTTTGGAAGGACATTTTGCTGTTTATGTAATTCTTTGTTGACAGTGTGTTTCTTTCAGCACATTGAATGCCATCCCGTTGTCTTCCAATTTCCATGGTTTCCGGTGAATTGTCAGATGTCAACCTTATTGAGAACCCTTGGATGTGAAGTGCTTCTCTCCCACTGCTTTTAAGATTCTTTGTCTTTGTCTTTCAGAATCTTTACTATGATGTTTCTGTGTGTGGATCTCTTGCATTTATCCTAGTTGGAGATTGTTGAGCTTGGATGTATAGATTAATGATTTTCATCAAATCTGAGAAGTTTTCAGCCATTATTTCTTCAAATATTGTTTCCCCTTCTCTCCTTCTGCTACTCCAATTATGCATATGTTGTACAGTTGACTGGATCTCACATGTCTTTGAGGGTCTTTGTTTTTCTTCATTCTTTGTACTTTCTGTTCCTCAGACGGGATAATCTCAGTTGACCTTCAAATTTGCTGCTCCTTTCTTTTGCCTGCTCAACTTTGTTGCTGAGCCCTTGTCTTAGCTCTGGCTGCCATAAGAAAATACCATAGACTCAATGGCTTAAACAAGAGAAATATATTTTCTCATGGTTCTGGAGGCTAGAAATCCCAGATCAAGATGCCAGCCAGTTTGGTCCCTGGTGAGAACTCTCTTGCTAGCTTACAGATGCTTGCCTTCTCACTGTGACCTTAGTTGGTGGACAGAGAGAGTTTTCTGGGATCTCCTCTTATAAGGACATTAATTCTATCAGATCACATCTCTACCCTCATGATCTTATTTAATCTTAATTACTTCTTTGTTCCAAATGCACTCAAACTAGAGATCAGGGCTTCAACACATAAATTTGGAGAGGACACAATTCAGTCCATAGCAGCCCTTCTAGTGAATTCTTCATTTCGGTTATTATAATTTTCAACCCCAGAACTTCTATTTGGTTCTTTTTAATAATTTCTATTTCATTATTGGTATTTTCTATTTGGTGAGATATTATTCTCATATTTTCTTAAGTTTTTTAGACATGGTGTTCTTTAGTTCTTTGATGTATGTTGATTTAAAGTCATTGTGTAGTAAGTCCAACGTCTGGGCTTCCTCAGGGATGGTTTATATTTATTGCCTTTCTCCCCTGTGTATGGGCCAGGCTTTCCTGTTTCTTTTTCAAGTCTCAAAAAAAATTTTATTGTTTGTTTATTTATTTAATTATGACAACTGGACATTTAACATAATGTAATGTGGCAATTCAGGGAATCATATTTCTTCCCCTCCCCAGAATTTGTTGCTGTTACTGTTTACTGTTGTTGTTTGTGTCTTTGCTTAGTGACTTTTCTGAACTAATTCTGTAAAAGCTGTATTCTTTGTCATGTATGGCCACTAAAGTCTCTGCTTGGTTAGCTTAGTGGTCAGCTAGTGATTGGACAGAGATTTCTTTAAATGCCTAAAACCAAAGTCTCCTAGTCATTGCAAAAGTGTTCTGTGGGTATGTTGAGGGACCCCTCAACACTCAGCAAGGCAGCTAACAACTCTACTTTAGCCTTCACTTCCTGCTTGCTCAGAGCCTCAAGGTGAGTCAGAGGTGAAGGCTTAGGGTCTTGTCAGGTGAGTCAGAGGTGTGTGGCCTTCTACCTTTCCACGACTGTGTTGGAGTTTTTCAAAGCCCCTATGTATACCTCATTCCCAGATTTTTATTTTAAGCTTTGTGATTAGCCTATTATTAGCCCCAACTGTTATCCATCACCTCAGCCAGCTATGAAGTTAAGCAACTACCTCTAAAAGTTTTCAGTGACACCCCTAGGGAAAGGCTTTTAATTTTGGGAAAGCTCCAAGTTAGGTCAAAGACAGTCTTGAAAGTAGCATCTTCCAGAAAACCTCCAGACAGGTCAAATCATGACAGTTCTCTGGGAGTGAGGCTTTGCATAAGTTCCAATACCATTCTGTCTCCCTTGGTGGCCACTGGGCTACTGGCTTTCACCTTGCTGGTGGGCTATTGCTTTTCAAGGCTAATGTGGAGGTATGGATGGGGGATGGGAACAGAGCAAGCTGACTGCCACAGGGCCTGAGGTTCTTACCAAGATTCAGCCAGTTTTCTTGACTAAACACTTTTCAGATTGCTGCAAACCTATGGTCAATTTCCAGAGTTCTAAATAGTCGATTCTGACCATTTTTGCCAGTTTTCTCATTGCTTTAACGAAAAAGAATTTCTGGGGGTTCCTACACAACCATTTTTGCTGGCATGGCCACTCTCATATAAACAGAATCACACACTATGTGGTCTGTGTCTTGCTTCTTTCACTTAGTCTATTGTTTTTGGGGTTCATCCATGTTGTCCTAGGTATCAATACTTTGTTTCATTTATTGCCAAATAGTATTCCACTGTATGGATGGACTGGTGCAGAAATGTTAAAATAGGTCTACAAGTTCAAAGTACTTGAAAAGTATCACCTTGAGGTATTGGACATATTTAATAATACAAATGGAACACTATTTTAAAGAAGTTGTCATAACCAAGTAAATGTAATATAATGTTTTATGATTTGATAAGCTTTCCTTTATTTATCTATGTTAATCCTACTTCTTTTGGTGTTAGACGTTTTTGTGGCTTTCTATCCGTTCATCCCAAGCATTTGTTGGCCACTGAGGAAGGCATGAGGATGAGAGGGAGCTACATAATAGCATTTACAAGCTCACAGGGTTTATAAGACAAGGATAATTACCTCTAAGACAGGGGAGACTATGTTAAGTGCCATACAGATAATATAAACAAAGCCCTGTGAGGATGAAACTCTGTATATTTTATGTAATTTATATTTCAAATTTATATATACGAATTGTATGTATATAAATATAAACATTTTAAATTCATAAAATAAATAAAATATCATAATTGCTTGAAAGAACTAAGGCGTAGAACAAAAGAGGATCAACAAGAACGATTTTATGTACGTTTTTCCTTTACCTCCACCACCTGCACACGCACATGAAACAGCCGGTCTGGTCGCGGGTTACTTGGTTCCTCATAGATGACGGACATGTGCTGACCCTGTGTAAAGAAAAACATCAATGCCATGATTGAGATATTCTGAGGTTTATAACTGATAAGAACAAATTTCTATGGATCTGCATTATTTGGAATGCCTGATTCTAATAAATAGTGAAATGAACAGACTGGCAAAAGGATTAGTGAATGGAAACAGAAAAATGATATCTAATACAGTACATGTTCACAGATAGGAAACCAGGAAAATCCCCTTGACTGAAAGTGGCCAAAAAGATGGATGATGATGATGATGATGATGATGATGATGATGATGATTTACAAAAACCATGCTTGGCGGGCGCCTGGGTGGCTCAGGTGGTTAAGTGACTGCCTTCGGCTCAGGTCATGATCCTGGAGTCCCGGGATCGAGTCCCGCATCGGGCTCCCTGCTCGGCGGGGAGTCTGCTTCT